CTGGCAGCCCCTGCTCTGTCCTCAAGAAGCTCTCAGTTCATCAGCAGCAACAGCTTTGGGGGTAGGAACAGCTTGTGAGGGGAGAGAGGCTGTCCAGAAGCTCAGGAGCCTGCTAACTGCCAGAGATGCGAGGGAGAGAGAAAGAAATCACTGCAGCTATGCTTTGGGCTGGCCTCCTAGCCTCTTGAGAGTGCATTTCTGCTGATATCCTGCTCCACAACTTCTCTATGTGGAATCTCTGGTAGTTTCTGGTACTTTTCCCTCAGAATTACACCTGATCTATGGTTGTTTGCTTTCTTGTTTCATTTTCATGTAAAACTTTTCCTTCTTTCTGAGATGATCTGTCAGCTAATGCCTCTGTTCAGCCATCTTCAAGTCATATATATACATATATATGTATACATACATAGATGTGTGTGTGTATATATATATATATAAAACTTAATCTAATTTCCTGCTTTCTTAAAAATACGAGGGAGGTCACTCTTGCACTGCTGGTGGGAATGCAAACTAATACAACCTTTTTGGAAGGAAGTATGGAGAAACCTTAAAGAACTCAACCTAGACCTCCCATTTGATCTGGCAATCCCACTATTGGGCATCTATCCAGAAGAAAAAAAAGAACTTTTACTATAAAGACACTTGTACTAGGCTGTTTATCGCAGCCCAATTTACAGTCACTAAAATGTGGAAACAGCCTAAATGTCCTTCAACACAGGAATGGATTGGTAAGCTGTGGTATATGTACACTATGGAGCATTATTCAGCTATCAAAAAAAAATGAAGATTTTACAGCATTTGTAATAACCTGGATGGAGGTGGAACACATTGTTCTTAGTGAAGCATCACAGGAATGGAGAAGTAAGAATCCTATGTATTCAACTTTGATATGAAGACAATTAATGACAATTAATGACAATTAATGACATGGTGGGGCATGGGGGAAGGGGAGATCAGACTGAGAAGGAGCGAGGGGGTGTGGTCAAAAAATATATATATATATAAATAATAATGTCTAATTCTCACACAAACTGGATTTAATTTTGATTAACATATATTACTTAAACATCAATTTTTAATCCAACATGTCAATATGTTGTTTATCATATTGCATCCTTATTTGTCAGTGAAATATGTCTGTAATTTCCCCTTTATAATAATATGTTTTTCCTAATTTTACTATCATGGGTATCCAGACTAAGTAGAATGATTTTAAAGGATGTCTGTTTCTATTGTCTATAAGACTTGGTGTGATCTGTGGTATTTTTTTTTAGAAATTATTTTTTACTTTTATTTATACATATTAGTCATCTTTTTTTTAGACTTTGGTAAAAACATAACAAGGAAAAAAATTTTGTTTGCTATTTGTATTTTGTCTTGTGTATTCTGTAACAAATAAGTAGTAAATGATTATGTATTCAAAAAAAGAAAAAAAAAGAAAATAGTGACTAATTCTCATATAAATTGTATTTAATTTTGACCAAAGTCAAAAGTTAAACATTAATTTTTAATTCAACATGTTAATAGGTTGTTTATCATATTGCATCCTCATTTATAAGCGAAATATGTTTGCAATTTCCCTTTTATAATAATATATTTTCTCCAATTTTAATATCAGGTGTATCCAGATTAAGTAGAATGATTTTGAAGTATTTCTTTTTCTATTGTCTATAAGATTTGGCATGATCTTTTTTTTGAAATTATCTTTTACTTTTACTTATAAATATTAGTTGCCTATTTTTTTTGAGGCTTTGGAAAAAATAAGAAGAAGTTAACTGATCAAAGTATTCTATAATAGACATACTTCTATCTGACAATGGGAAATGTTACTTTCTTTGCATTAAAAAAAATTATGCTACCACATTAAAAAAAATACAAGGTCACACTCTTGCAGAGTAAGAAGTTTAATAATTCTTTGCTGGAGCACAGTAATTGCTGGCTCATTACAAAGGCTTTCTAGCTTACTACTTGCTTTATCTACTTAATTTTACTCATTTACTTTACTAGGCTGCACTCACTGGTCAAGTGAGCTCATAACCCCTTATGCACCACATGGAAAATTCAAGAAGTGAAGCTGTTCGATGCCTGAAGGGATTGCAAGATTGAGCATCCTTAGAGAAGTTTATTTGCTTATTCATTTATTCACTTATGTATTCACTCAACACATATGTGGAATACCTGATAGGTGCCAGGTGCTGGGCTCAAATAAGAATATAAACATTTGGGACCTCTTTTCAATGAGGTTATATACAGCCATAGATCTGAAGGTGCTTGCCAAGATGTATGTAATAGAATTGAGGGGAAAATACTTGTGAATTTTAGGAAATGCAAGAAAAAATTCTAAGGAATGCTAATACTTTACAGGGTCTTGAAGGATGAGGAATATAAAGAAGGAAGGGGTGGTCAAAATATAAAATTGGGTCTGACATTGCCATATTTTAATGCAGCAAAATTCCATATATTCCCCATGAATATATAAATATGAAATAATCTGTGGCTGAGAAGGGAAGTCAAATGAAGGGAAAAAGGAAGACCACTCTGTGAAGTAAGTAGCAAACATTTAAAGAACATTTAAAAACCAGGTTCAGTGGTGGAAAAAAAAAAAGAGAGAGTGAATGAATGAAGCACATGAGAAAGAGGTGGGAGTGGATGTAAATGGAACTGGGAGGGTTGGATAAAGAGAAGAGGTGAGATGATTATTTTGCAGGCTATGGGAGATGGCCAGAGAAGAGGTCTGAACATGTGCAAAAGAAATGTCTTAGAATCAGACTGTTCACAAGAATAATCATATTCTAGAAGGGATTCAATCTAATGGAAGGGCCATTATTTTAAAATTTTTTATAAGAGCAAAATTGGCAGGGCGCCGGCCCCAAATACTGAGGGTGGTGGGTTTAAAACCGGCCCCAGCCAAAATGCAACAAAAAAATAGCTAGGCACTCTGGAGACCACCTGTAGTCCCAGCTACTCAGGAGGCTGAGGCAGGAGAATAACCTAAGCCCAAAAGCTGAAGGTTGCTGTGAGCTGTGATGGTATAGCACCTTACTGAGGGTGACAAAGTGAGACTCTGTCTCTAAAAAAAAAAAAGAGCAAAATTGGCTACTTTTCCAATAACTACATTCTCAAGATCACTTCTTTGGACATATCCTAAAAAGGTATATCCACCATAAAAGCATTATCTTTGGCATCAAATTCAGTGACAATAAACTATAAAAGAAAATCTGTTGATTCTAAATTATGTCTTTATTTTCTGGCATTCCACTTGTGACCTCAATTCAAAATGATGGTGAATGTTTCTGCTTCTATGGCTCTGGTGGAAATGACAGTGTTTTCCACAGAGGCATTTCATCTTGCACCAATAAAATCAGGAGACATCATTCTATAGGATCCTCTACATATTTATTAAGCAAAGGAAAGAAAGATTATGGTACAAATGATACATTTGTGCATTTTATAGCAGGTTTATAATGTTTCCGGTATTCTTTTGTGGACCTTATACCAGATATGCTAGCTCTTCTAACTTGGATATTGAAAAAAAAAATCTAATGGCAAGTACATGTTCATCATAAGGACCAAGTGAACTCAGTAAAAGAAAAAAGGACAGTGGAGTGTATGTAGTTTTGAATTTTCATAAGGTAATATGATTTGAGTAACATGAGGTATCAAAATACCTTTGTTTACTTTCTACAACTGTGAAATAACAAGAAGGAAAATAAACCTGCCACCATTTTATTTTTTTAAAATTAAAACTTCCTAAATTATTTCTTCAAAGTATTTTTATACAAAATGCTTATAATTTTATTTTTTAAAATGAAGGCATAGGGTAGCACCTGTGGCTCAGTGGGTAAGGTGCCAGCCCCATATACTGAGGGTGGCGGGCAAACCTGACCCCTGCCAAACTGCAACAAAAAATAGCTGGGCATTATGGTGGGCACCTGTAGCCCCAGCCACTTGGGAGGCTGAGGCGAGAGAATCACCTAAGCCCAGAAGTTGGAGGTTGCTGTAAGCTGTGATGCCACAGCACTTTACCGAGGGTGATAAAGTGAGACTCTGTCTCTAAAAACTTAAAATAAAAATAAAATAAAAATGAAGGCACAGTTTGAAATGGAAACTAAACTAGCATTTCCATATTTTTGGAGTAAATTATGTTCTCCTGCTGTTTCTCCCAAGTAGTCACTATTGAACTTTGGTTCAAAAAGAAATGTTAAGAAGTTACTCTTATTCAAGGTGCATGTATATTTACAGCACTGAACTTTGAAAAGCCGCATCTATATTTACTGACAATTGAAATGTATTGTGTATTGGAAAACAAGAGTAGAACACCCATATATGTTTGCCATGCATTCTGTAAAACATACAAGGTCAATTCAGTTTTTCTTTCATAATATTTAGCTAGAAATCCCCTGTGGTTGGTTCTTTAAGGGCTTAGTTTACATGAGTATTAGCGTAAAAGAACAGCATTAAAGAACAAGCACTCAGCTAGAGCAGCCTGTAGAGCCCACCCATAGTGAATCCAGATACCCATGACTTCCCCTACTTCTCCTCCCCTGTTTCCAGCACTGTTACAGCAACGACTACAACCACCCAAAGTCAAACCTTGGAAAGGTTTCACTGCCTTCTGGTTTGTACACTCAGGTTCAGGGTTTTTAAAATTCTCAAACAACCACCTTCCTGCAATTCGCAGTAAAACTGTTGTACAAAGTAGCTTACCGGAGACTTTTCCCTCTCTTTTGAAGCCATCATAGAGATTGTGGTTAAGGAAAACAAAGCTGATTTTTTTTCCAATTAATTTAACAATGATTTATTTAAAAGTAGTAATTGGTTCACAGGCTATCTAACTAGACCACCAGCCCAGCTCAAAATAAATAAACATGATCATCAAGGGTCTGTATCAGATACGAGGAGAAGTATAAAATAAAAAGCATGTTTGGCAAAGAACTCCAATTTTAAGATAAGAATTTCTGTGGTACTCAAACAAGAACTGTGACATGTGATCTACTTACCCCTGCAAGGCTTTCTCCCCAAACCAGTCTCCTTTTCCTAAAGTTCTAAGAAAGATGGGGTCTTCACTTGGTGAGTCTTCACGAGTGACATTTACCTACAAAGAAACAAAGAAAGTTTAAATCAATTCCTCATACCTGGAATGATCAAATGAATACTAATCATTAAGGATAATCTCATTTCTTGTTTCCTTTTATAAATTACTTTTATGAAAGAAAAGAGTTTACATGACTACTAGAGGGACTAAAGAATAGTACAAATTATTATGGTAACCACGAAAAATTACTCCAATATGTTGTCATCCTTTCAAGTTGTACCCAAGAAATAATAAAAATTAACTAAGAAAATGACATAATAGCGATGTTAACCAATTTTACGAAAATATTTCAAATTGTATATGAAAACACCACACTGTACCCCACGATGGCATCAATGTACACAACTATGATTTAATAAAAAAAAAAGATAATAAAATTAGGAAAGTTGATTTCACCCAGTCCTTATCTTCATTTCCCTTTTCCTACCTTCTATAACGCAACCACTATAATGAATTTAGTAAGCATTCTGTCAAGATTTTTTATGTTTCTAAATACATGTGTTTTTAAAATAAACAACATAGGCTGGGTGTAACGGCTATGTCTGTAATCCTAGTACTCTAGGAGACAGAAGCAGGTGGATTGCTTGAGCTCAGGGGTTAGAGACCACCCTGAGCAAGAATGAGACCCTCCTTCTCTAAAAATAGCCAGCTATGGTGGCAGTGCCTATAGTCCCAGCTACTGGGTGGGCTGAGGATCACTTGAGCCCAGGAGTTTGAAATTGCTGTGAGCTATGATGCCATGGCACTATAGCCTGGAACAACAAAGTGAGACTCTGTCTCAAAAATAAATAAATAAATAAAATATTTTTTTAAAAAATCAACAAAAATCGTATGTATTATTCTACAGCTTACCTTGTTTTAACTATTTATTCCATGATATTTTTATGTAAATCTAGTTCATTTATTTTAATGTATTAGAGTCTTATTCCATTATATAAATATATTTAATTATATCCATGTAAATTGGCATTGACATTGTTCCAATTTTTTTTTTTTTTTTTTGCTGCAGTAACATCCTTTTACACACCTGCACAAGCACATCCTTTCTTCTCTAGTCCATAATTATCCCTTTCCCTAAAAAGAATACAGCTGGCTCAGCGCCCGTAGCACGGTGGTTCGGGCACCAGCCACATACACCAAAGTTGGCACTTTTGAACCCATCCAGGCCAGCTAACAAACAATGACAACTGCAACAAAAAAATAGCCAGGTGTTGTGGTGGGCGCCGGTAATCCCAGCTATTTGGGAGGCTGAGGCAAGAGAATAACTTGAACCCAAGAGTTTGAGGTTGCTGTGAACTATGACGCTACAGCACTCTACTGAGCACAACATAGTGAAACTCTGTCTCAATAAATAAATAAATAGAATAAAATAAAAAGAATCTCGCTATCATTCAAAGGCATATCACATTTACATGAAGCCTTCCTGCAGGTTTCTAACTAACTACAACCCTCATCATCCACATGCTTTATTCAATAGATTTCTTTTTCAAAAGCCATACAAATTACCTACATGTCTTCTTTGTTGGTACCTTAACAAATATTACACTCTTCAAAGAAAAGAGCCATTCCTTTGGCATGCTCTACAATTTCAAATAATCACTCAATAAATTGCTGGAAATTGTTTAACAGGATGTGTCATTCTTAGCAAGACATCCCAGCAAACACGGGACTTGTGACTTAGGGGATAATCCACAGAAGGCAGGTAATAATATTTTTTTGTTGTTGCATAAAGGGAAACATAATTGCAGTTAAGTTGTACTTTTGTGTTAATTCACTTCTCCCTCAAGCTCTACTAATATTCATAATACTTTCTGTGTGTCATCCACAAAGGTTAAACAGTTAAAAGTCACCTACTTGGAAAATGTAATGAAGTAGAAAAACTAATTTCTTGAGACAATGCCAGACACTTAAAACACAGTTTAAAAATATCATGCTTCAGGTTTCTGAATCTAGATATTGGATGTCAAAGACTAGAATTTTTATAAGTATAAAGAAGTTCTGTGCAAGGTGGAGGAAATTCAATTATTATTCTCTACTGATCCGTTTGATTACTCCTCCATACAGTGTTTCAAAACCGTGGAAATTCAGTTTTTAACACTGCTACTTACCACGAAGCTGTATCCTAGAGACACTAATTTGCATGCTGATGAGGCTTTTACAGATGTAGAATCTTCAATAGGAATTCTGATTTAAAATAAAGGTTACTGGGTCCTTTTACTTGAGGTTCTGATTCATCCAGCTATACAAAAAAGTGAAATTCACTTTCTTTGTTTGCATAGTAGCCCATTATACGAAAATTATGCAATTTATTAATTCTTCTATAGAAGTAAATGTGGGTTGCTTCTAGTTTTATTTTGGCTATATTTTATATTTGTTGTCATATTAACCATGTTACTGTGAACATTCTTTTATTTTTTTGTTTTTATTAAATCATAACTGTGTACATTGATGTATTTATGGGGTTCAGGGTACTGATTTGATATACGTGAAATGCTTACATTCACACACATCTATACTTTGTTCCTTGAGTAGTCTTCAAACTTCTTTCAAAAAAAGACATATAATAACCTTGCATTTCCACCAGCAGGGTAGAAGTGTTCCCTTCTCTCTACATCCATGCCAACATCTGTAGTTTGGAATTTTGTGATATGGGCTAATCTTACTGGAGTTAGATGATATCTCAAAGTGGTTTTGATTTGCATTTCTATGATGATTAAAGATGATGAGCATTTTTTCATGTGTCTATAGGCCATGTGGGTATTTTCTTCAGAGAAGTTTCTGTTCAAGTCTCTTGCCCACATAGAAATGGGGTTATTTGTTCCTTTTTTATTGATTACTTTGAGTTCTCTATATATTCTAGTTATCAGAACTTTGTCAGAAGCATAACCTACAAAAATCTTCTCCCATTCTGAAGGTTGTCTATTTGCTTTACTTAACTGTGCTCTTGGCTGTGCAGAAGCTTTTTAGTTTGATCAGATCCCAGTAATGTTTTTTTGGTGTTGCTTCAATTGCTCAGGGTGGTCCTCCTCAAAAAATATTCTCCCAGGCTGATTTCTTCAAGTGTTTTCCCTGCACTCTCTCTTGTAATATTTTTATGGTTTCATGTCTTAAGTTTAAATCTTTTATTCAGTGAGAATCAACTTTTGTTAATGGTAAAAGGGGGGGCGGTCTACTTTCAGTCTTCTACAGGTCGCCAGCCAATTCACCCAGCACCATTTGTTAAATAGGGAGTCTTTCCCCAACTGAATATTTTTGATAGGCTTGTCAAAGATCAAATGACGATAAGTAGCTGGGTTCATCTCTTGATTTTCTGTTCTGTTCCATAAATCTACCTCTCTATTTTTGTGCCAGTACCATGCTGTTTTGATCACTGTAGATTTATGGTATAGCCTGAAGTCTGGTAACATGATACCTCTTAATTTGTTTTTATTTTTGAATAATGTATTGGCTAGTCAAGGTCTTTTCTGATTCCATAAAAAATGAAGCTCTATTTTTTCAAGCTCTTTAAAATATGGAAATGGTGCTTTAGTAGGGATTGCATTAAATCTGTAGGTTGCTTTGGGTAGTATGGACATTTTAGCAATGTTGATTCTTCCCAGCCATGAGCATGGTATGTTTTTCCATTTGTTAGCATCTTCAGCTATTTCTTTTCTTAGAGTTTCACAGTTCTCTTTATAGTGATCTTTCACATCCTTTGTTAGGTAAACTCCCAAATATTTCATCTTCTTTGGCACTATTGTGAAAAGAATAAAGTCCTTGACTATATTTTCAGCTTGACTATTGTTGGCATATATAAAAGCTACTGATTTGCAAGTATCAATTGTGTATCCTGAGATGCTGCTGTATTCCTTGATCACTCCTAAGAGTATTATAGTTGAGTGCCTGGGATTTTCTAGGTATACAATCATATCATCTGTGAAGAGTAAGAGTTTTATCTCCTCTGACCCTATTCGGATATCCTTGATCACCTTGTCTTGCCTGATTGTGATGGCTAAGACTTCCATTACTATGTTGAATAACAGTAGAGACAGTGGGTATCCTTGCCTTATTCCTAATCTGAGTGGAAATGTTTTTAATTTTATTCCATTCCATATAACTGTGGGTTTGCTGTAGATGGCCTCTATCAGTCTAAGAAATGTCTCTTCTATGCTTATTTTTTTAAGTGTTCTGATCATGAAAGGATGCTGAATAATTATCAAAGGCGTTTTCTGCATCCCTTGAGAGAATTATATGGTCTTTGTTTTTTACTTTATTTATGTGATGTATTATATTCATAGATTTGTGTATGTTGAACCAATCTTGTAACCCTGGAACAAAACCAACTTGGTCATGGTGTGTAATTTTTTTGAAGTGTTATGGAATTCTGTTTGATAAGACCTTATTGAGTATTTCTGCATTGATATTCATTAATGGTATTGGTCTATAATTTTCTTTCTTTGTTGGATCCTTTCCTGGTTTGGGTATCAGGATGATATTTGCTTCATAGAATGTGCTGGAAAGTATTCCTTCTTTCTCTATGCTTTGGAAAAGGTTGTATAATACAAGTACTAGTTCCTCTTTAAAGGTTTGATAGAATTGGGATTTGAAACCCTCTGGTCCCAGACTTTTCTTTTTGGGGAGATTTCATACAGTTGATGCTATTTCAGTGATTTATATAGGTCTATTCAAGATTTCTAATTGTTTCTGGTTGAGTCTAGGAAGGAGGCTTGCTTCCATGTATTTGTCCATTTCCTTCAGATTTTCATATTTCTGAGAATAGGGGTTTTTTTGTAGTAATCATTGAGGGTTTTTTTTTTTAATTTCTGAGGTGTCTGTTATTTCTCCTTTATCGTTTCTGATAGATGATATTAGAGATTTTACTTTTCTGCTTCTGGTTAGGTTGCCCAAATGTATATCAATTTTATTAATCTTTTAAAAAAATCACCTTTTTGTTTCACTGATCTTCTGAAGATTCTTTTGTTTTCAATTTCATTTAATTCTGCCCTCATTTTGATTATTTC